TGCAACGCGGAGGAGGAGGAGAGCGTGTTCCTGCGGAGGTGAGTGCTGAGAGCCCCGCGGGTGTCCCGCCTGCCCCTCGGCCGGGCACCGGGGCCTGCTGTCCCTCTGCTCCTCTCGAGCTCTGCCTCTCTCCCCCAGGCCCGAAGGCATCGAGCGGCAGTTCAGGAAGAAGTGTGGCAAGTGAGTGACCGCGGCAGCTCTTTGGTGACTTTTAAAATGCGTTTGCGAGGTAACCATAGCGATCCGGCATCTGGGTTTCCTTTCAGCTACGTGTGTTTCTTCTTTCTATTTCCAGGTGTGGTCTGCTGCTGTTTTACCAACACCAACAGAAAAATGCTCCCGTGACGTTCATTGTTGATGGTGCCGTGGTCAAATTTGGCCAGGGTTTTGGGAAAACAAATATATATACTCAGAAACAAGAACCTCCCAAAAAGGTAACCAGCTTCAAAGAAGTAAGAATACTGTCTTTGCTTTTCAAAAAGCATTGTGTGTAAAATAACTTAATAGTGAGAGCAGAAGGGATGAAAAAAGGAATAGAAAGGCCCCTTGAACAATAACTCAGTTTGCTGTCTTCTGCCTGTCTGCCCTAAATTCTCCTTTATAGAGGTCACTGCAGCTTGGAGTCCTAGCACTAAAGGAAAGCAAAATAAACTTGGAAGCCTAGACTGTGCCTGTTGCTTAGGCTCAGTTACAAGAAAGTTTCCATTTGTAAGTAGGTCAGGTTGGTAGTCTGCAGAGTGATTCTCAAAATCTAGCTCATCTGTTATATATTGGTGAGTTTGCTTCTGGTAATGACAGTTCTAAGCACAGAAATCACTGGGCATAATTCTCCTTTGCCACCCACAGAGTTCAGGTAATCTTGAGGACTTGCATAAGAAGCCTTAAAGCTTTGGAAAGAGGAAATAATCCCTAGTGGCACAATTGTTGCCATGGTTGAACAAAATACTCTGTTTTTCACCCAGGTGATGATGACCAAACGCACCAAAGACATGGGCAAATTCAGCTCTGTCACAGTCTCCACAATTGATGAAGAGGAGGAGGAGATTGAGGCGGTGAGTTTTGGATGCCCTTGGTGGCACCCACACCTCAGCTGGGTACCCACACCTGAGCTGGACAGCTGTCTGGGACACTGGGCAGAGCCAGCGATCGTCTCGTCGCGTGGATGAGGTGGTGTTGCTCTGGGGTTTGCTGTTGCAAAGTGACCTGTGTGTGTTTCAGAGGGAGATTGCAGATTCCTATGCACAGAATGCCAAAGTGATTGAGAAACAGCTGGAACGCAAAGGCATGAGCAAGAAAAGGCTACAGGAGCTGGTGAGTGTTTTCTGTGGCCTTGAACACGAATCCCTGAGATTCTCTTGGCTTTGTACACAAAATCTGTCTTGAAGATCAGAGAGACCCTGGTACAGTCACAGGTAACCTGTAGCTTTGTGAGGATGAGTTTTTCTCTACAGGTTTTATAGAGATGTTCTTCTAGTGCCCCTGAACTTAAAATCATATGCAATTGGCCTGTGATTTTAAAACCTGTAGGGCTAGCTGAGGAGCAGCCAGCAGAGTGCTCGCAGGGAGGTTTTCTGTGACCTGTTGGACAAGGAGCAAGGGCAGGGGAAATCAGGCCATGGCTTTGCCAACCAGAACATCCCTAATGCTGTGCTCTCAAGCCTGCTTGGCAGAGCAGGTCGTTTCCATGAGGTGTCAGGGCAAGCCAAGACACTTGTGGAGCACCTGCAGCTCAACTACTACTCCAAGGGCCACTGAAAGAATTAATGGCAAGAACATCACAGCTAATCTTACCTGCTGTGACAGCAGAGTGGTAGATGGGATGGGGAGGAAACGTGCAGTTTCTGCCTGAGGGTAGAAAGTATGAAATTGTCTCCTGGGCAGTTGGTCTTGGGCATGTTTTGGTTTTAAAGGTGATTTTTACTCTGTACGTCAGGGAAGGAGGGAGAGTCAGCAAATTACTTGAGCTACTCTTGCTCCTGGTGTGGGAAGCTTGCAGTGGTCAGACAAGAAGAGCAGACCTCATTGGAGCACTGAGGGAAAAGTATCCAGACATTATTTTATTCTGTTTTAATTTTCCTATTCAGGCTGAGTTGGAAGCCAAGAAAGCCAAGATGAAGGGAACCCTGATTGATAACCAGTTCAAGTGAAACAGTGCACATCTGCTGGGTATTGAGAGATGGGAGAAGGTCATCAGGAGCTATGACAGATCTGTCAGGAAAGCACAAGTAACAGACTGTTCAAGGGTTGCACTGTGCTGCAGCCAGCTTGGAGGATGAGAACCTCTCTGCCATAAGTGATACTCTGGTAGCAGTTTTAATAACTCCAACTGGAGACTTTGCTGAAGCTGCAGTTCTCTACAGATCTAGTGTTATCAGCAAGCTGTTCCAGGCAGAATATTTCCTTTGGGAAAATCTTTGCTGGGTGCCTTCCTGAGTTCACCTTTAGATACCTGTCTTTTTATTTTGATAGTTTTCAAATGTGTAAGATTTTTTTCAGTTTATTAGAACAATAGGTCAACTGCACAACAAAAAAATCCTTATGAAAGTAAGCTATGTCCCTGTTCATTTTATTACTTTATATGTATCCAGAAGGTGCAGCAGGCTGAGAGACCTGCCCTTCCAACACAGTCTGGAATGACTGGGATGCAAGGCTTGGGCATCATGCTGCTGCTGCTCACCCTGACCAGCAGAGGCAGCCAGCACAGGCTTGGTGCAGTGCTGCAGCCTCAGCTCCTGCTGTACATCAAAAGGTCACAATTGTACAGAATTACACTGCCCCAACTCATACTGCCTCATCCAAGAACATGAAAATCCCACTCTGTTTTAAACTACCAAGAACAAAACCTGCCACTAACCTGTTCTGCAGAACAGTGTCAGTATTTGGAGCTGTGAAATGTGAAGGAAAAATTCTGTTTAGTGTACTGACCTCTAAGAACTTGGATAAAGACAATATTAAAGACTGGAGTGTAAAGTACCTTGTTTGGGGAATAACATGTCTCTTGCATGATGTAACAACAGTGCTCTGTAGCCCATGTCTTTGTTGCTCTACTTGGGATTAAATACCATGTTATGGATTTCAACTAAAAACTTTTCCTAGGGTGTTCTTACTGCACTAAGTATCATAAAATATTGTGAGCAATGAACAAAATGTTTCATCTCCCACAGTTACTAGGGAACTTCTGTAATCAATAAAGATTTCCCATCTGGCTTTATAACCCTGACTGGGAAAACTCAGGTCTGCTTAGCTGAAAGATCTATCCTTCCTTTCTGTGGGAAAACAAGGCGTAAAGGGAGGAGTGAACTCTGCCCTAGAGCTGGCAGGCTGGGATGTGTCCCTGGTCCTGTGATAATATAATGCCAGGCTGGGTAAGCACGTGTTCAGGTTAACTCACGCAGTGCTGATCTTGTTCCCTGCTGATTACCTGCTAATCTGAAGCCTATTTCCAGAAGCCTGTGTCCAGAGGCTCCTTTGTTAAGCAAGTACAAGGTGGTGTGCCATGATTGGGAAGGGCAGGAGGTGCATGTGGGTACAGCTCGGGTACACAAACTGCTTTGCCCAGTGCGGTAGCACAATCCAGCCAGGCGAGGGCCGCAGGATTCCTCTGGGAGTGATCCAAGTAACCACAGGTCTGGCTCTATAAACATTTGGAAGTTTATTCCCCAAGCAAGTCAAAGGCTTTGACACCTGAAAACAGGTTTTGAAACATGTGAGGTCTGCTGGGATGAAGATTTCTGAGTCTCCAGTTGTCCAAGGATGAAGTGTAGTCCTGCTTCAAGCGACACCAGAACACAAGCTGACTCAGGGATGGTGTGATGTGCAGCCAGGGTTAAAGCTGGGAGTGACAAAAGGCTTCACCAGACAGGGGACTGTCAGGTGGGATTAGGACCATCTTTGCAGTTTGGTGAGGCACAAAGGAAATCTGGTGACTGCCCAACTCAGCACAAGTTGAACAAAGCAGCTGTTACCAACTGCCATCAACTTCCTCAGCTGTGCACCTGGAGCCTCGAGGCAGTGTGCCCAGCACAGGTACTCCTCCCCTCTGGCCTTTGGAAGGCCAGCCCAGCCCAGCTGGTGTTTGTCATTCTTGTCATTGAAGATCTGCCTAGTTTGGCACAGGACTCATGGCACGGCCCCAGTCAAAAAGGGGAGTGCATTGTCTGTCTTGCCAGCAGTCCCCAAGGTGCGTTAATACACTCTAGTTACGTAGTCAATGGCTGAAACAACTCCAGTGCAGAGAATCTGATCCGATACATTATTATGTATTTCTTACTCTAACTAGATCTAGTTCACAATAGTGTGAATAAACTTGGGGTTTTCATTTCTATGAAGTCAGAGTTTGCATTACGTAAAACCCAACATTAGTTTTTATAAATCTGTAAATGTAGGTAGGCGATAGATTTGTTTAGCTCAGCACTACACTGTATGTAAGAACCTGACCAGATGCAGAGGTATCACAAAGCAGTGTGTGAAACAGAAGCAGGAGGAGGAGATCTGCTCACAAAAACAACATCACACATGGCCAGACTTACCTTACTGTGTTTCATGGCTTAGTCTAGACCAGTTTCCAGGCACTGTCACAAGAACCTAGCCTGATTTAGCATGTCAGAACAGCCCTGGGTGTAGCTATGCCACCTCCTTCCCCATAACCTGTACAAAACCCCCACACAATTTGTAAACACTAAAGAGAAGTGGTAATGGGGAATCGAACCTCATCAGTGTTAATTGCAGCTGTACCTGGGGAGTAGCACAGGGTCATCCCAACCTGCCTCCTGAGGGGGAAGTATTTCTGGTCAGCTTACAGCTCTCCTTGGGCTGTGCTCTGTGTTTCTGTTGTTTCACCTGATGACTGGCACACAGACAGCTGGCTCTGGCTCCCTAGACTATTGCAATGAATATCGATAAATGCACACAAACAATGTGTGTGACAAGATCAGCATGGGAGCAGCACTTAATGATCAGGCTGAATCAAACTAGACTCAGCTTTTGCTGGTGCTATCCTAAAGAGCTCCACAGGTACATAGGGCACTGCCATATCCAGGCCTTTAGAAGTATGAAATTATGGGCTTGTCTAAAAGGCTGCAGGGCTGGGCTTCAAGGGATGGAGGAGGATTGGGTTGCAGTGTGGGGGTATCCATGGTATGTATTCTATTATCATCTCCACAAGCTGTTAAAGCAGATGGGGCAGTGATCGCTACCACCTTGTCCCTCCCTCAGGGCAATCCTGATGGCTCCCTCAGGGGGCTGTCAAGGACCCAGGCATGACACATCCTCCCAGTGATCCTTATCCCTTGTCCCATGGTGAGGTGACTGACCCCAGGGGTGGGGAGCCAAACATGCTCACAGGGATATAAACTGGGGTTTGGACCAGCGCAGGGAGCCCTTTGCCTGCTGGATTCCCAGAGGACAAGAGCTGCTGCTGGACCTTCAGGAGAGAACCGGATCTGCAGGATCACTGCTCCAACAAACCCAACACTCCAGGAGGACTGCAGCCACCATTCAATGGGACTACTACTACACCCTGACTGACAGGGTGTCAGGTTACTTTCTGACTCTGTCAGGTTATTTTTTTTTGTACTGTTGCATTTGTGTTGTTTTGTTATGTTGTTCATATTAAATTGTACTTCTGATTCAGAGTCTCTCACTGGTTTGCGTTTCAAACCAGCACAAAGGCACAAGTGGCCAATCTCTCCTTGTCATCCAGAAAAATGCTGCTCCATCCTTGCAGCCAGGGCTGTAACTGGGGTGAGTCCCAGAACCCTCTTCCCATCTCCGTTGCCATTAGCACTTCCCAAATTGCCTTAGGAAGAGAGCAGAAGCCTCAGCCTTGCCCTGTCTGGCATACAAACCTCCTGGCACAGGGTGGTCCCTGCAGCCTCCAGCCCAGATGGAGAGGTCCCAACCCAGCAGAGCTGGTGGGGCAGCCCAAAGGCACCACAGCCAGCCCAGCTGGGACAGGCTGGTGCACACTGAGCCATTCCAAACATCAGCACCACTTGCCACCTGCCCAGCCACTGACAAGTGTTCCGTATGATCCCATGTGCAGACATGCTGCGTCAACACCTCCTAAGCCTGGGATTTATGTCTGCTGGGTGAGGGGCTGGGATGAAAGCAGCATTACAGATGTTCACCCACCCATCCCCACCAGCAAAGGGGCCAAAACACCAGGCTGGACATGGGGCCCGTGGAGGAAATCATGATATATGAGGTACTGGGCACTTCTCACCGGAGAATCATGTTTAAAAGGAAAATCCACCCTGTCCATGCTGTCCTCGGGGCAACACAGCCTGATGGACAAAATGCTGTGTTGGAGGGACTGTATTCAGCGTGCTGCCTTGCCACTAGCTAGCCCCAGTCCCTTTCCTGTGCCTCAGTTTCCCCACAAGAACAAAGCTCTTAATCCCTCTGAAGTGTGCTCCTGTGACAGGCAATGGCAGCAGTTGAACTCCTCAACTTACTTCCCCAGATAAAGCTGCTCCCAGGGAGCTGCCAGGAGCAGGAGGTTAAAGCCCTAGGGGCCTCATGCCAGAAGGGCTGCCAGCCTGAGCTTCTGGCAGTGGAGTGCAGAGAAACTCATTGTGGGCTCTGCCCTGCATCTCCCACGTGCCAGGGCTAAAAAGAGCTGTGAAACACATGCTTGTTTCCTGAATCCCCAGGGCAGAGCTACAACCCATTCCACCCAGTGCCAGCCCTGCACCCCAAGCCCAGCACACAATGCTGTAAGTCTAAAGACTTACAGATCCCTCAGCTCAGCTACTTTACAGCTTGGCACAACACCCTGGCTCAGGGCCTTGACGACCTGCACTGTGTGCAGGAAGAAACGATGCACTTACCTCCTGGTGCTAATTGCCCTGGCCATGCATCCCCTACAGAGGAAAGGATGTCCCATGTTCAGCAACAAGCAGCATTTCAGAACAGCCCTTGAAAGCCAGGAGATCTTAGCAGCAGGAGGCAATAAGGGCCAAGACCCTTAATTAATTAGCTTGCACTTGTGCAGCAGGAGAGTGCTCCCTGGCAAAGCTGCCCCGTGGCACAGCCCTGCCCGGCTGCTTCCTGCAGCCCCAGCATACTGCCCACTGCTTGTGGCACCACTCCACATCTCATGGGGAAACCCTCAGCCCATTTTGTTTCCATGGCAGGTAGTGGGGGATCTCACACCACAGCAGCCCAGGGACTGTTAAAAAGCAGCAGAAAGGGCTCTTGGCTCAACTGCATGGCACAAGACCATCTCCCATCACGATGATGTGCCATTCACAGGGACCCCAGCAAGCCAACACCACCTGTGGCAGGACCCTGCTGTGCTCTCATGCCTGGCTGCCCTGCTTAGGTTTCAGCAATAAAAACAACTCTCACCCTTTGCAACACAAGGTCTTGTTTAGCTGCCTTGGGCAGTGGTTGAGATTGGTTTCAGTGATTGAGACCAACCGCTTTGAGCAGGCCTGGGCAGCCAGAAAGGACCAAAAGCATGGGGGGAGAGAGGAGACACTCATCTGAAGGGCAGAGGACCAGGAGAGCACTGACTGCTCCAGTTCACCAGGCAGAATCCAGACAGCTTCACTGGGGTGGCTCACAGATCCACAGGGTAAAGGCCAAGCCACACGGATTGCTTAATATTGCAGTGTTTTCCCCAAATTGCCCTGGCAGCATGAAGGAACTTTCCCCTTTGCCCAGAATTTGGAAGCTAACTTCCAGGGGTTAGGGGTAAGCCTGGGGATGCAGTTCCCCTGCCTGGCAAACACAGCTGGCACAAGAAGTGGCCTGTCTCTGCTCAGCTGCTGCATCCTTGCAGCACAACACCCTGGCAAGGGCAGGACTAGACAGGGGCTCTACAGAACAGCAGCAGTTACCTGCACTTGTGCTCTCAGGCTGGATTTTAACATGTGCCAGAAACGTTAACATGAGCCAGAGAACAAGATGCCAGCTCTGCTCCTCTAGGCAGCAACAAATACCCCTTAGACATGCCTCCAGCCTCCCAAGCATTCTGTGCCTTTGCAGATGGTTTAGGCACTTGGCACTTCAGAAACAGGTTTCATCAGCTCCAGGGAACAGACAGGCCCGAGGCAGGACTGTGGCACAGTGAGTGTATCCTCTCTGGTTACTGGGTCTCAGGGAGATCAGCTGGGTGAGTCCTTCAGAGCTGCCAGTCCCCATTTCAGCCCACACCATTGGCTTGTCCCAGGGAGGAAACACTTGTCAGCTTCTTCAGCAGCCTGAACTGTCTACCTGCAGGTACTTAGCAGGTAGTGAGGCTTGCAGGATGGAGGTGGTTCATCTTCCTCCTCTGCAATTGCTGAGACCCCCACCCCCCTCATGCTGCAGATGCTGCAAGAACAAGCGTGAGATGAAGAAAATTGGTTTCAGATCTTTATTTCTTTGTACTCTTTAAACAGGAGTGACTGAAATAGAAACCATCATGAGTCCCATCAGGGGGAATAACTCGATAAAGACATGGCAGGCAGTCTCCCCTGCCCCATGCCAACCTGTATAAACATCAGCCATCACTGTTTAGTAACTAGATGGTTTTTCAAACAAGTCCATGAACAGTCATAGACTACATAGAACAACATGCCAGTTCACAAGAGGAAACAACTTATGTGTACTTCTTGATTTCGTCATAGAGGACTAAGACAAAAGCACCACCCATCCCTCGCAGTACATTCGACCATGCCCCTTTGAAAAATGCCTTGGAGCCCTCGTCCCGGGCGATCTTCCGCCAGCAGTCAAGAGTGCCACTGTACATTATGTCAGCTGCAGAAGACAGACAGCTTTAGGAACTGGATGCCCACAACCCCCAACATCCAGCTCAGAAAAGGCCCGATGTATCCGCCAGCTTCATAATCTTAAGTGCATCCCATTTCTTGACTGACTTTCTCCGGTATTAGTGCACCAGAGGACAAGGCTGCCCAGGAGATACACTCCTGGGAGACACTGGAAGGACCGGTTGAGCAGAAGGCAGCAACTGTTTGCTTTGACACCAACACTTCCAGACCCAAAAGCTATTGCACAGCCAGCCAGGCTGTGCCTGCTACAGAGTTTTGTCTGTTCTTGCCCCAGAGACACTGGCTTGCAACATCCTTGGGCAAGTTCTGCTGTTCCTGCCTACTGACAGATACCAAACTTGTGCATGCCACCCCACAGGTGTGCCGTGCAGACTGACCCATCCGCGTCCCCCGTCACCTGCAGCCCCTCCCACAGCACTGCTCACAACAAGTGAGGATACCTACAGGAGCTGGAGACAGCCAAGCCACTCTGCCTTCCCCTCCACTCCACCACCAGCTGTTGATTCAGAGACGCCTGATATTTCTCACACAATGAGGTAGAAACTTACTTCCTTTACGTCCGGACTGCATCATCATGCGACGACGAACCGTATCGAAAGGGTAGGAGGTCAGGCCGGCGACAGCAGTGACGCTCTGAGCGATCATCCAGCTGACGACGATGTGGGTGTTCTTTGGGTCCGGAAGCATGCCTAGGGGAGAGAGCTTGATGAGAACAGCGCCGAGCCACCGAACGCACCACACGGCCCAGATCTCCCTCCGGGCGCCGCTCCGGCCGACCTACCCTTGGCGGTGTCGTAGATGCCGAAGTAGGCGGCTCTGTAGATGATGATGCCCTGGACAGAGACACTGAAGCCCTGGTACAGGCCCCTGAGGCCATCCGAGCGGGAGATTTTGACCAGGCAGTCGCCGAGCGGTTTTGGCCGGGCAGGCGCCGAGCCCGTTGAGCTCCCGGTCGCCCCCGGCTTTACCCACATCCGCTGCCAGGCGGGTTCGGGCAAAGTCAAGCGGGTAGACGAAGCAGAGGGAGGTGGCGCCGGCGGCTGAAGTACCGCCAGAACTGGGTCCGCTTGTCCACGCCGCCCAGGAAGATCTGCTTGTACTTATCCTTGAAGGCGAAGTTGAGGGCCTGCGTGG